TGTAATTATTATGTTATACACCTTAGTTAGTCAGTTACATTTCGAATAGAATTTTATCAAATAATTTAAATCGGTTCAAATATTGTAGCAAAAAATTAATTTACTTTCCACATACAATTTAATTGCGATTAAGAATTTATTTAAGATATTTCAAAAATGTATTTATTTTTTCAATTTATACGAAAAATCAGTCAAATCGATTCGAATTACTCATCCACGATATTTGAAGAAAACAAGTACTTATAACGGATATTGTTGTTCGATTAACTTTTACTAGACAAAATTACGATAACTTAATTTACGATATCAGTTAGTTAGGAGACTCTGACTAAACCGATTTCAGCATACATATAAGTTATCGAAATTTACGAAAGACATTTTTTAAATTTTTCGTTATAGGCTCGAGATTTTTATATTTTCCTGCCATTCCAAGTAATAGCAAAATTTAAAAAAAAAGCATTTCAATCATTGTCTAGCATACTAGTTCCGCTATCATCGAAACAAAATTCAAGTCATTTAGTGCAGTTTTAAAAAAGTTATTGCGTTTCAAACTCTTTTGACCGACTGCATATTACGTTCCATTGTGTTTGTATACCGATATCCTGACGATCGCGAAAATCGTTTGAAATCCCACGCGCCTCCCGGATCATCATCTCGTCGCAACGCAGAAATAACGACGTTCCAGATGATCTAATCGCGCGGACGATCGACAGTGTCGCGAGTCGTGCGCGGCACTCTGTTCAGTGGGAGCTGACAGAGTTAGCTAACGGCCTTCATAGGAGTTTTCTCGCCTTCGCGGTTCCACCGACTCCTCGCGCACATTCGCGTTCATGTTCGTGTTCGTGTTTCGCACAATGCGCGAGGGGAAGGCCGAACCGAATCGCACGCGCCGCGGAATCACACGGCCCGTTGCGATCGAAACGCGATCCTCTCGATCCAACCAAGTTCTTGGCTAGCAGCCGGTACAGCGCAATCATAGCGGGCACGTGGATGCACTCGCGAACGCGTGAATCCATGAATGAATCGCGGCACTAAATCGAACGCGTTAAATTGCACACACCTTTTAACAAATTGATCGGTCGTGCAACGTAGCGTGTGAACGATGATGATTGGATCGCGGATTTCAGACGCTTGTCGCTGCTGCAACTGCCCACACGTATCGTTATGAAATTTTTGTTTCATTGATATTTATAGTCCTCGCGGAATCGCTCACATAGAAATTATTTTTCGAAGTGCATATAAGCATTCGTTGAATTTCGTTCACTAGTAACGATTGATAGCCAGATCCAAATTTTTTATATGCTTTGATTTAGCGGCAATTAGTTCAAAATTTGTTCTTAAATAACGATTGTTCTCTTTACGCGTTTGAGGTATCTAAGCAAACAATTTATAGTTTAAAAGTAAAGAACATTTCGCTAATACGTATTAGTATGCGACGCGCAAGTGCGTAAATTTCGAGACTTGGTGGCAAGATATTTCCGTGTCGAACAAAAACTATTATTGTCAACAAGCTTGACAAATGAACAAAAAATTTGTTTGCGTTGCTTTCCAAAATATTTCCTTATACATTGTGAAATGATCGTTCTTTCGTCTTTCGCGCTACTTTTAATTTGTCTTTCATGATTCGCGACGTGATAAACGAAGTATCAAAGCGTAAAAAAAAGATGTACATACCCCATTGACAATCCCGGCCAGGAAAATTGCGGATGCGACGAATCTGCGAGAAGAAACATAAGAAAAAGCGTTAATTACATTTAGAAGTATCATGTGTCAAAATGTGGATATGCGGAGATCGTAGAAAAATGAATTTCAGTATTTTTTCCAAATTAACGCATTGCGGACCAGTGGTTTTATTACTATTTTTACCCAGTAGCCAGCTATGTTATTTGCGAACGAGTACAAGAAAGGTTTGACGTAAATTTTTAAGGCACTCCAAATGACAACGATGAAAGTTCGAGAATTCTCGTGATTGGTCGCGAGCTCTAGAACGGAAAACATTAGAATTTTCGCGATCCGTGCGCAATGTGTTAAGAGCGATCGTGACCTTATAATAGCGGCAGCGAAATTAAGAAACGTCAACATTTCCATTACCGGAAATTCGATAATGTTAGTCGATTTATCGGCGATCGAAGCATTCATCGAAGTATGTAATCTGTCGATGAAGAGCTAACCATAACACTCCCTGAAATCTATAGCGTCGCGAACTTTATCTGTACGGGCATTCATTGTAACATAAATCACTGCTTGTAAAATCGTATCTCCGTGTGACCTCAGGCACTTTATAATACGGACAAAGACAGTCTTGAAACAAGCATCGAAAAGCGAAACAAGAAGATTATACATGAAAAAAAGAAATTGGAGCAACGGGGTCGGAGGACGCGGAAGTTTTATCTTTTTTTCTGTAGCATAATTTTCTATAAATAGGTCAGAAAATCTCGTAAGAATTTCATAATTCTCGGTATTCGGTTATCCAGAAACGCGATAAGGTATTTATCGAGCCGACGAGACCGAAATCACGTGGCGAACGAAAAAAAAAGGGACGGCCATGCCGTAAACGAAGGATAATCGGTCGTAAACAGACGGGTCCCTCCGTCCTTAAGGTTCACTCGTCGTTCCGACGGAACGTAGCAGGGGTTGAAAGTGCCCCCCTCCGTCGTGGAAACACTTGTGGCGCGTGCACGGAGGGCGACCGCGCACAGGCGAAGTTAAGAATGAAATAAAAAGCCGCGTTGGCGGCACGAGGAAGAAACGGGAGACAGAACGCGAAAGCGCCCGGCTGGAATTATCGCGTGAAAAAGCGCGGCGTAACGTACGGAAAACCGCTACTTTATTCAATGACGAGGAGGATAGATCCCAGCCGGGGATTATGGGAAGAACGCGACTGCACGCCGCGTCGAGAAGGAAGCACAACAAGCAAGTTGCACACCGTTCACCGAACGCACGTGTCGCCGCGCAATATACAGATCGTTGACGTAACACAACAGGTTGACGAACCAACGGAGCACGCTGGGAAGAAGAAGAGACCGAGACGAACGTGGACAGGCACGGAATAGAGGAACACGGGAGAAGAGAGAAAGGTGGAAAAGAGGAAAAGCGGATGGGAAGAAGAGAAACATGCAGAGAAGAAAGCTTATAAGAGCAAGATGTATCGGAACTCACCGCAATCCCAACCGGGTCATGTCGACCTCCCTATTCCGCGACGGGCCTAGGGAGCCGAGGAGTCAGGCTAACACGAGCACCGCACGGACAGGCAGTCACAAAATATCGCGGGGAACCCGGTACCGAGTAGACGTGGTGTGTGGACCATCCCATCCAGGGAGGGCTCTGAATGAACGTCGGGTGGAGGGAAGGAAGGTGGAGGCGGCCGCCGAGCCACGCCAGCTAGAATTCCTCCGCCGAAGGGATCGGGAGAGAGAGGCTTCTCTCGGTTCCGCGAGATCCCGTGCTGTCCACAGACACGCGCGCACACTGTCCGTCGTCCTGCCTCCCCCGCTGCTCTCTCTCCAGTCGCGGCCAGAGAATCGAACTCTCCAGCCTGTCTCCGCCAACTGCGGGACCAGAAGATACCATAGGCGACAGGGCGCAAGAAGGAAGGACAGAGGGAGAAGCCTCGAAGGAGCGAGGAAGGGAGGTGGAGGAAGGAAAGAAGAGTCAGCGGGCGGCTGGAGAGGGAAGTAAGAAGAGAAGAACCGGAGAAGAAGAGGAAGAAGTCGCGGAAGAAGGAGGGAGGTAAAAGAGGAAAAAGAGGTGGAGGAGGAGGAGGAGAGGACTGGTGACCGGGTCGAGGCGAGCTCGGTCGCGCGTCGCACGAGGACTGTTCCACGGCCTCAGCCGATGCCGATCGCGGTGTAGGTCTCTCCACGACTCGGCCGAATCGAGCGAAACGAGCGGGAACCGAGCGAACCGAGCGAACCGAGAGCGAGAACCGAGAGCGAACCGAGCGATCCAAGCGAACCCGACGAACCGGAGAGCAGAGAGCAAAGAGCAGAGAGCAGAGAGCTCGGAGCAGAGCGAGAGGGGAGGATCTACCCGCCACCGCGACGCTCGGTGCGCTACGGCGCGCAAGGATACAGCATCGCGAAGAGGAGAAGAGAGAAGAGCGCCTCCTCCGCCACCGACTTTGGCCGTCTGGCTGGGTGAAGCAGCGACCGATCGGGAGGACGGGCCAACCGGGCCGCCGCCGCCGTCTGTCTGGCCCTTCGACACGCGCTGCGTCGACAGGCTGGCCGACCAGCCATCGTCGCATCCGCAATACGCAACACGCAATCCGCATCCATCGTTTTCCAACCACAAGCAACGAGACCAGACGCGGGGCACGAGCGTGTCACCGTTCGAACGATACGAGACCGATCGGCGCCGCCTCACCTTAAGGGCTGCCGCCGCACAGGTAAACGGCTCGGAGCAACCACGGACCTGCATACGACGAGTCGGCGGAGGAGGAGGAGGAGTACCGGACGACACAATGCGGCCTAGGGCCGCGGCAACGTCAACCGCTGCAACCTGCAGGCCGCGTCCGTTCCCGGTTGTCCTGCGAGTCACCTGCGTCCTTGCCCTACTGGTCGTCACGTGGATACCGGTCACCGAGGCTGTGGTGAGTGACTCCTTCGAATTTCACAGTCGCGTACCGCTCGTTCGTAGACCAACAACGCGAACTCATGGCATTGTCGGATCGCGGTTCCCTCGTTTCTTCAGTGAACACGAAATAACGTCGTCGTCGTCGTTGACATTGTCGTCGTTGAAAAATCGTCGCGAACAAGAAAGTGTTTCTCGGTTTCGTCTCGCCGGTTTCTATGGTGTCGGCGCTGCCCGGTTTCGCGACTCTAGATATTTTTATAATTCATTTCGATCTCGCGTTGCTCTGTTTACGAACTCGTTTCAACGAACCGTTGCGCAACTTTGACACGCGTTTAGTCCGATGATACGAAATACAGTTTTATACGAAACCATTATCCGACGAGCGTTGATAGGAAAAGACGATTCGTTTGGTAATCGAGTTACCGAATTATGTATGAATTATAAAAGCGAACGCATGAAGAGAGAGAGAGAGAGAGAGAGAGAGAGAGAGAGAGAGAGAGAGAGAGAGAAAGGGAGCATTGAGATACAGAGCGCGCGCGAAAAAGAGAGAGAGGGAAAGAGAACGCGTGCGGAAGAAAGAGAGAGAGAGAGAGAGAGAACTCTCTCCACTCCAGTTATCGTGAAAATTTTCTCTGCCCGGAACGCGCTTGATTAAAGTTGGCATGCGAGAAGTTCTCCAAACCAACTCACCGGCAGTACTTCCGGTAGATTGCCGAGACGTTGTTATCGCTGTCATTCTGAATATGCATCCGCGGATTTCATTCATGTTCCGAACACCGACAGACCGAGAAATCGATCATTGAATGCCCGTCGGATGTGGGCATGTTTTATGAACGTAGGTGAGGACAATTTGTTAAAAGACGAGATAATGTNAGGGCCGCGGCAACGTCAACCGCTGCAACCTGCAGGCCGCGTCCGTTCCCGGTTGTCCTGCGAGTCACCTGCGTCCTTGCCCTACTGGTCGTCACGTGGATACCGGTCACCGAGGCTGTGGTGAGTGACTCCTTCGAATTTCACAGTCGCGTACCGCTCGTTCGTAGACCAACAACGCGAACTCATGGCATTGTCGGATCGCGGTTCCCTCGTTTCTTCAGTGAACACGAAATAACGTCGTCGTCGTCGTTGACATTGTCGTCGTTGAAAAATCGTCGCGAACAAGAAAGTGTTTCTCGGTTTCGTCTCGCCGGTTTCTATGGTGTCGGCGCTGCCCGGTTTCGCGACTCTAGATATTTTTATAATTCATTTCGATCTCGCGTTGCTCTGTTTACGAACTCGTTTCAACGAACCGTTGCGCAACTTTGACACGCGTTTAGTCCGATGATACGAAATACAGTTTTATACGAAACCATTATCCGACGAGCGTTGATAGGAAAAGACGATTCGTTTGGTAATCGAGTTACCGAATTATGTATGAATTATAAAAGCGAACGCATGAAGAGAGAGAGAGAGAGAGAGAGAGAGAGAGAGAGAGAGAGAGAGAGAGAGAAAGGGAGCATTGAGATACAGAGCGCGCGCGAAAAAGAGAGAGAGGGAAAGAGAACGCGTGCGGAAGAAAGAGAGAGAGAGAGAGAGAGAACTCTCTCCACTCCAGTTATCGTGAAAATTTTCTCTGCCCGGAACGCGCTTGATTAAAGTTGGCATGCGAGAAGTTCTCCAAACCAACTCACCGGCAGTACTTCCGGTAGATTGCCGAGACGTTGTTATCGCTGTCATTCTGAATATGCATCCGCGGATTTCATTCATGTTCCGAACACCGACAGACCGAGAAATCGATCATTGAATGCCCGTCGGATGTGGGCATGTTTTATGAACGTAGGTGAGGACAATTTGTTAAAAGACGAGATAATGTCGCGAGCATCTGGAGCAACGCTCATCGTTCCACCGCTTTCAGGAACGTAATGCGAACGGCAATTCGTGGCTCGTGCCCACACGACACGCGTGGGAACGCCGCCGTGCCGCGCGCCGGCTATATGTGTTCACCGTTGATCTACGTTCAATGTTTCGATCGTATCACGCACTGAAAACCCAAAATCTCACGTTTATCGCCCTATAAGACAGAATTTTCGACACGGGCGGAGATTTATTGTTTCAGGAATGATTCGAATATCATTTTCAGTGAACATTTCAACGTCTTCAACAATAACGAATACTAAATTCGTTACTAAACGACGTCTAAAATAATACGGAACATTATTTAGATTTTCGATGTTTCAATAGATGTTTTTTCAACAGAATTTTATCAAATTAAGAAAACAGCAATTATATTTTTTTACTTTTGGCATTTATTTCTGCATTCTATTACCGTTTGTTCAACGTTTCTTATTCGTCCATTCGACAATCATCGCTCTTTGTTTTAATTTTGCAACACAAAGAAAGAAATGGCATCCTTTGATATTTGAAAACGTTTAGATAGCATATATTTATAAATGCATTATGCATGATAATAAATGAAAACAAAGATGAATAATTAATATAATTATCCCATGTGACTATTAGCTGTTCAAGAAAACCGCGTCATAGGCGACACAATAAATTTCGTTGAACAACGGACGATGAATGAACTCAATGATGTGTATCAGTTATTTCCCAAACGTGATATTTATAGGTCATATCATATTTGCGTGTTATCATTCGTTTTGAATCATTCGCCAAGACGTACCTCCGTTTAAAATTTTCGCGGAATGAGTTTCATAATCCGAGAATATAATATAATATATAGTTCTCTATAATTATAATATAATATAATATATAGTTCTCTATATAATTATAATATAATATAATATATCGTTCTATAATTATAATATAATATAATATATATAGTTCTATAATTATAATATAATATAATATAATATATAGTTCTATAATTATAATATAATATAATATGTAGTTCTCTATAATTATAATATAATATAATATATAGTTCTCTATAATTATAATATAGTATAATATATAGTTCTATAATATAATATATGGATTATTAATTTAAATCCTTGCTGAAAATTTTCATCTCGTTTCGCACAGAAAATTATTTATTCTGTAAAGTACTACACTCCGACACTCGGTAAACGAGGCGTACCGATAAGAAATCCATTATTTGCTCGCGAACTATAATATTTGTTTTTAGAAAGAAAAGTACAAAGATACGAACTTCCTTAACGCGCTCACTACCGGCATTTGTTTCGATAATAGCCTCCATAGTTATGATACATTATTAAATGCAATATATATCCAGTTACGAGATATAAAGAAAATATTGTTTTAGAAAAATTTAGAATTCTCCAAATATCAGATTGTACTTTGTGATTTAATACAACGACGTCCAAATTAATTTACGTGAATTACAACAGTATTAATATTATTAATGATATTTGTGATTGTCTATCGACACCGTTGATATTTTCATTAGATATAAAACTGAAAGACAAATTCGGAGTTTTAAAATGCATATTATACCTTGGCACATTAGAAAGTGCTGGAACACATTCGTCGTCAGTTTCTCGGGCTGGGTGCACGTTTGGTATCGAAGCCGTTTTAGTTGAATGCTAAGAGGTTACATTTCAATAAGATATCTAATATATACGTCTATATATATATATATATATATATGCGCCTATTGTTTAGCTTTCTGTAGTTATAATCAATGATTATATCATCCATAACAAAATCTATAACAAACAATGAATAGGCCAATTACAAAACTGTAAAGACATTAGAAGTATTTGGGAATATTTTTACATCATTTTAAACTTAATACAATTATTAAAAGAGAAAAAGTTATTTTTATTTAAATTATGTTTCTTACAATTAATTTAGACAATTTGTATTCTGTATAATGATTCGCAGTCCATCAATGAATCAGTACCATATTTACATTATATTACTCTCGTGAATTTTACTTCGATGTTTGTAATACGTTTTTGCCAGCCGCATTAAAATTTATTAACAACACAACCATTGCTGACGCCATTATGATGTCATACAAATTTCAGCGATTAGTGATTGCTGGCACCAAACTAGAGTCAATTGTTTTGTCACCAAGTTTGTTGATATAGTGGGTGAGGCTCCTATCATTTTCTACGATGACACGACGGCGTATTAATTTTCTTTGACCGAATAGTTCTTACTGAACTGAAATGAAGCACTCAAATCACTTTTACATGGACATTCTCTCTGTTCGCTTATTTATTTATTCAAATACTTCTCGCGTTCTACAAATTTGCAGTTACTGAAATTTTATAGTATAGAAAATGTGTTCACTTTCATCGCATAAATCACTTTTCCCCGGTTATAATTAGATTTACTCCAATGTACACCAAAATACTTCTCCAATTGGATAAAAGTTTGCACAAAAATATTTTGTTGGTTTCACAAGTAATTCACATTTCTTTGAGAACAGATATTAGAACTTTGTAATTTTCGACTCGTTCCTACGTAAGTATCAAATGTCTCGATAAATAATATTTTCATTTCGAAATACATTTTGAACTGCGAAAATTAGTAACAATGTAAATTCACTATCTCTTATTTGTTCCATCTCCTATGCAATATATGCATTTTTTTCAAATATTTCTGTTTCTACTCGTTGGCATTTTCCAGTTTGTATTTTGTAGAAGCTCATTTTTGAAAGTAATAGGTATATTTTAAGTGGTGTAAATTATGTTCGAAGAACTTATAGTTTTTTTTCTTTCCTGCTAATTATAGCAATCACAGTTTAACGTTTCTATGTATACAAATACATTGTGGTAGTATTTTTAGTTAAAATTAAAGATGTAGCACCTAAATCCTAATTTTAACGTTTATATGGTCGCAAATTGTTCATATATAACAAATACGAAATTATCATTTAATTTGAATTAGTAGCTAAAATTTTACGAAAAATTGCAATCGTCTATGATCGTTTTTATTATAAAACTCTCAGTTTATTTGCAGGGTACATTGAAAATATATTGAAAAATCACACAGCTATTACTCGCGATGCTTATGTGTTGGTCATAAAGTAGTTCGAAGGTAATTGCACCCTTTATATTTAGATGCTACGTCAATATACATGCGCTGAACGCACAATACTTAACTCAGCACACACGAGAATATAGTTATTAAGAACACGAGTACCATTGACTTCTGAATGAACGTCTGCATAGAAGAACTTTAACAGCACAGACATTCGATTCAAGCATATACATAAACATGATATCATTATAATGACGTTATGAGAAATAAATTGGATATATAATCATTAGATGTATGATTCTAAATAATACGTATGAATAGAAATACGTGACTCAACGTCGTATATTACATTGTAATAATAATAAATATTGTCATAATGCTACTATTGAGTTAGATTTAATCATAGAAGAAATTCAAATTGATTTGAATTTGGCAGAAATGAAAATAAGCATATACATAAACATATCATTATGACAATGTTATGAGAAATAAACTAGACGTATAATCATACATATGACTGTACATCTAATTCATATCTGCCAAATTCAAATTAATTTGGATTCCTCCTTTAATTAAATCTAATTCAATAGCAGTACATATTGTGACAATACTTATTATTATTACAATGTAATATACGATGTCGAGTCACGCATTCATTTAAATGTATATTTTCAATTATTTTTGCATAGAAATCTATCAGTAAATTATTAAATTATCAATAAGATGTAAATTATTAAGTTATCAATAAGATCCATTAATAACAATGGTTATTAATGTACATGCTGCTATTGCTCTATGAAACAATGTAGTTTTAAAAGAATATTTTTCACATTTTATCGGAGAATGAAACAGATTTTTGAAACGGATGCCTGCGATACTGAATATATTTCGTCAACATTGGCCTAAATCAATAAAACTTGAGAATAGAAGATCAATATTAGTAGTCAACACATTATATATTAAAAGATTTCTATTTTCTAGAATTCCAATTATTTGAACTGAAAATACTATCGCGATCATAAATATCGCGTGGCTTTCATGTA